TTACATTCACCACAATAACGTAGTCTGTGTGAGTAGAGTTATTCTGGGGGACATGGTCCCCTGCTTGCCCCGTTGCGCTCGCCTTTCATTATGTGTGTTGAAAAATAGTGAAAAAAACCATACTTCGTATTGGTCCCGATGCTGGAAAAAAGTATTGGACATGAAGGTAGTATTATGTTTTATATATTAGCAACAAAATGTTCAACTTAAACTATAAGATTTGTCATTACATCTTGAAATGAGCTTCGATTCACAGGATTTATCCTGCTTGTTCTTTCATTTGTAGTAATATTAGTAGTAATAATGACGCACTTCGAGGTTGCTATTTCTTAATAAACGTTGTAACAGTTCAATATTTTATTTTGTATGACGTTTGTTTATTACCCCTAACCTGTCTATAGGTAAGCATATCATATAATAACACTAAAGCGAAGACAATAGATCAAGCTAATAACATCTGTTGGTTTTCTTTTCCAGTTATTGACTCGGCTAAGATTCTACTACAGACAGTACCTACCCACATTCAAGTAGACAGTTTAGAAAATAAACTACTTCAGAAGGTAAGTTTAGTTTATGAATTTTGTCTCATTAAACGACACACTATTTTATTTAACTCGATAAGAGTATTCTTTAACTACAAAACTCAAGACTCTTCTTGCTACCGCCTGTATGGAAGCCTATAGGACGTGTCTGTTTAACTGAGCCCTTTGTAGTTTCACAAGAAAATATTTTTACTCGAGTAGGCGATTTTCTTAAGAACAGTCTACATTATACTTGTGTAGTTGTTGCGAATTGGATGGATGGTTTTATTGCAAGGGCTTGTTTACGATATAAATGTAGTTTTAATAACTCACCATTTTACTTAAGAGAAAAATTGTTCTTGTCAACAGACAATATTTAGAAAACAGTGTTTTTAAACACTGTTCCCAATGTTTACAAAAATTAGCATTTATAAGAGAAATATTGGGATTGGCTTCCTGTGGACAAATTTATATTATAATATTAAAACCTCGTGATTATACTTGAACTCTTCACCACTCTTGTGTGTTATGTATTGTTGAAATAAGAAACCACTATTAATTTGTACTATCCTAACTGTATTTCTGAAGCTCGAAGAGATTTCATGATGACGAGAAACCCACTTGAAGTCAAAATGTATAGCAGAAACGGCTGGTATGGGTATTAAAAACTTTAATTAAACTAAAGTACAAGAACAATGTGTCGACCTTCTTAAGTCATCTTCAGGTTAACAAAAACAGTTTGAAACTGACTGTTACTGGGCGCATGTCTTGGTTACGAGAGTGTGAACGGGTACGAATGTTAGGTGATTAATTAATATAGGTATAAAGGTGTTCCTTTATGTTGGTTCACTTTTGGTTTGAGTTCTTGTATAAGTAGGGCTTCTTTGATTTTGAGTTTGTCTTTGCAACTGCCACGACTTTTATATCAAAGAAGCCCTACTTATACAAGAACTCAAACCAAAATTGAACCAACATAAAGGAACACCTTTATACCTATATTAATTAATCACCTAACATCTAACTGCTACGCCCCCTACAATTCGTACCCTTTCACACTCTCGTCACCAAGACGTGTGCCCAGTAACGGTCAGTTTCAAACTTTCTTTGTTGACCTGAAGATGACCTAAAAAGGTCGAAACGTTGTTCTTATACTTTATTTTAATTAAAGTTTTTAATACCCATACCATCTATGTTGTACACTTTTTAAGTTGAAGTCGTGCTGCTGTTTACGAATTTTACGTGTGGTAGCTAAGACGTAACGACGTATTCAAATATATTTTCTATGTTGAAGAGATGCTGTCTGTTTACGAATTTCACGTGTGGTAGCTAAAGCTTATTCATATGTAGTTTCTATATTAAAGGGGTACTGCCGGTTTATGAGTATCATGTGTGGCAGCTAAGACCTATTGACGTATACACGTATTTTCTAGGTTGAAGGTGTTATGGCTGTTCACGAGTTTCACGTGTGGCAACTGGCCGGGAACAGGATCATCGCTTCAGCCCACATCTTATGTCAAAATTTATCTCAATATATGGAAGTTGCCGAAAAAATAAAGGAATTTTTTCATGAAGAAGGAATTCATTCAACAACTATTCAACCAGAATTTGTTGAATTAGAAAATCTTGTAAGTAGTGATTCATTATAAAACCCTGTATTTTATAAGACTGTTAAACCTAGTGTTACGTATCTGCTTGTTTGTTTATTTCCGGTAGAAATTCTTTCCGAGGATCTTCAGCGATACAAGTCATTTCTTGATTAAA